CCCGCTGAGCGCACCCGCCCGGGCACACGCACCCCGCCGCCGGGCGCCACCCCGCGCGCTCCTCCCGCCGCTCCGCCGGGCAGATGCGCCGCCGCGCGCCCCGCGCCCCGGGCCCGCCACAGAGCTCCGCCGCGCGCCGGGGGTTCTTCTCCCCGGCCCCCCTGGGTGCCCTCCGGCTGGGGCTCCCGCCCGCTCCTTGGAATAACCCCTGAGGCTCCGGCCGTCGCTGCAAAGTTTCCCGAGGAGACCCGCCTCCCCGGCCGCTGCGCAGGTAAGGCGAGCTGCGCGGGCCAGGGGTCGGGACGGGGCGCTGGGGCGTGCGGGGCGGGGGCCGCGCTGCACGCAGCGGGCGGATCGTGTTGCGGGAGTCGGTCCGGCGTGGCGGGGAGCGGGCAGCCTTTGGGATTCGAGGTGTAGATAGGGGGGTCGGGAGTCGAGAGCCCAGCGCGGGTGACGCTGGCCCCGCCGCGGGGAGGCGCGGGGTTCGCGGCCCGCGGCTCCGCTCTCCGGAGCGGAGGCTGGAAAGGGCGGGGGCTCGCTTGCAGCCCCGAGCCGCGCCGGGGCTGCGCCCGGGGGATGGCAGCCGGGCCCGCGGGGGGCGCCGGGCTGAGCAGGTCGACCCCAGTTCCTGCCCGGCACCCGGGAAAAGGAGGGTGAGGGGCGAGCGCGGCGAGGGCAGCGGGCCGGCCCCGGCGCCGCGTTCCCGTCCCCACTAGCCGCGTGAGTCACGGTTAGAGCGAGGTTTTATTTTTAAAACGACTTCAAGGGGGGCACAGGCAGCCTCCAACTTCCCTCCCTGCGCGCGCTGTGGACTGGCAGCCTAGTGCCGGCGGGGTGACACTGTGCACCTGGCGGCTGCAAAGGTGGATCGGAGGGACTGACGGGCTGGGGGCACGGGTCCCCCCCCCTCCCCGCCCCAGCTCCCTAGACAAGGAGGCAATAGACCGCGAGCACGCCCCTCCTCGTGGGGATCCGAGGCCCAGGGGCGGAAAGCTGGGGAGCGTTGTTGCCCAGCTGCAGGGAGCCTTGGTTGATCAGAGCTCTCTGAGGAGGACAAAGTTGTGAAGCGGCGACATCAGGGAGCTGCCCCAGGCTTCCTGGGGCCCCGGGAGGGCTTCCAGGCTCTCCCCGGCGGGCGGCGTGTGGTTAAGAGAGAACACAGCTCAGCTGGGGTGTGCCAGGCCCTGGAGGCCCAAGTGAGAGGTCTGATGTGAATAAATAAAGCCAAGGCACGGGAAGAGGGGTGAGAGGTGACAAGGTCCAGCCTCGCCTCGTCTCCGTCCTTTCATCCTTTGGAGGATGGAGATCAGCCCCACCCTTTTCCATCCCTAGGTAGCTTAGGAGTTGGGGGAGGCTGTCTGGGTGGGAAAGGGGGCTGTACGCAGAGCAGGACCCAGGACTTGTGCCGCTCCTGGCGGAGGGATGTGGGCTGGGGCTCCCCTCCCTGCCAGCGCGGGGGAAGGCGGCTGCACACCGGGGCTCCAGGCTCAGGTTTCGGGAGTTGAAAGCCAACTGCGTGTCTTCCTGCCAGCCCCAGGAGGAGAGGCACAAACATCACCTGTCAGCTGGTGCCTGCCGTGGGCGACTGCTCAGGGCTTCCTCCGAAGGTTTAAAATGGAAATGGCCCAGGCTGCCAGTCCCGGTGCTTGGGAGGAGATAGTGCCTGGCTGGGTTGGCTGGGAGGTCTGAGGGGTAGGAGGAGCTGAGGTTGAAGGGGTTACAGGCTGGGTGGTGGGGGCGAGACAGGGGAGGTGGGGAGGACGCTAGGGAAACTAGGCGTGCACAGCCCACCTCGGTTCTCAGAAAGATTACAGGGAAAACCTCCCCAGGAGAGTGAAGCCAGGGAGGCTACTGGGCAGCCCCCACGCAGGCATGATGGCCAGCCCCAGTTCGCCTAGACTTAGTCCGTGAAGCTACTGGGGCCCATGCATCCATGCCCTACAATATATTGGTTCCAAGTCCTTCTACCTCTGTGTGCCTCCGTTTTTCTTTCCTGTTATAGATTGCCTGCTATAACTACTCCCTGGGCCTTAGTTGGGGGACAGGGAGTTCTTTGTAAAACGCATGTGCACTTCCTGTAAGTCTTGAATGGTCCTGCCCTTTGGTTCAGGGGTCTGTAAGGGCAGAGGGTGTCTGCAGAGAGATCAGCAGGTGAAGGGGTGAGGTTCCTCCATCCAGCTACATGTGGGTTCTGGGCAACTGTGTCTCTCCTGTGGAGTCCTGTGGAAGCCCTCTGGAGATCCACTCAGGTTATTTCAAAGGAGGCAGCAGAGGCAGGAGGGCTGCCCCTCCCTCATTTCACCTGCTGCCCCAGACTGTGCAGGCAGGGTTTGGGCCTGTAAACTTAGCTCTGTGTGGACTGAGACCTAGTGGCCTAGCCTATGCTACCTGCTCAACCTGTGCTCCAGGCCTGCAGCCTCCCTTCTGGGGACCTGCCCGAGAAGGAGGGTATAGCCATGACATGCGAGGAGGGAAGGGCACCATGACTCTGAAAATGAGAGAGCTGGGAAAGGCAGCATGCAAAAAAGACCAGGAGAGTGGTGCTAGCGTAAAGTCAGTGAGAGCGGGACTGGAGCCCCAGGTGGACCTGACTCCTCAGGTGTTGAAGAGACGGAAAGGCAGGCCTTGAGCCAGCTGCCTGCCTGCAGAGGCCAGTGCCGTAGCTGATGTAAAAAAGTAGGTGCTTAGCCAACCGTGGTGGTGTATGCCTTTAATCCCAACACTCGGCAGACAGAGGCGGTCGAAGGGAATCACTGAATCTGAGGCCAGCCTGGTCCAAAGAGAGAGTTTTAGGACAGCCAGGGCTACACAGAGAAACCTTGTCTTAAAAAAAATGCTTTGGTGCAGGGGAGCAGTAATGACCAGGCCTCTGGGGACAGCTAGGCATAGCTACCTTCTGTGCAATCAGGTGGCACACAGTGTCAGGGAGCTGGGCAGGGGCTTCATTGTATGCCCCTTAGGACTTGGGGACCTCTCCATCACCCCTTCCCAGCCATCCTCAGCACTTCAGTCAGGACTGCAAAGTGGCCTGATCTTGGAGGTGGGGCTTGACAGGGTTGTGCCAGGAGCTATCCTGCTGGGCTGGCTCATCTGGGATCTGGAAATGACATCAAACATCTTGTCATCCCAGTTGATCTTGTTCCTGGGACACCGGGATGCTGGCTCCGGGTCCGAAGGACCTACTTGGTGCCTGGAAAGGACTCCTTTGCCTAGCCGGCTGGCCTTCAGGAAGACTTCCTTTTGTGGGCTTTGCCTCCCTCCTCTGGGAAGTGGGGCAGTAGTGGAGCCTATTTCGGGGCACCCACCGTGAGGCGCAATGTGCGAGTCTCCAGCAGGGTGCGTGACTCACAGTGTGGCTCTCCTTTGCTGTGGCCTTGTACTTAGCGCTTCCTTAGGCCTTGGGGAAGCAGGCAGGACTGCTCGGTCCCTTACCAGTGGCCCTGATGGCAGGGTCTTTCAACACCAGTACCTCCTAGTCTAAGGAACACTGGGAAGAACAACAGACGTGACACAGTTTCAACTTCAGTCCCATCATGAACTGTGATATGTGAGAGTGTGGGCATGGCTGAGGGTCCTAAGGCCTCCCTGGAGGCTGAGGGGACTTTACCAGTCTTGGCCTCCCAGCAGGGAGAGCACCCGGCTCTGGAAGGGTGGGGGTAGTGTAAGCCTCAGCCCTGGCTGTTGCTCTTGAGGCCTGGCACTCTATGTGACTATATCTGGGCATACCTCCCTAGAACCCAGATTGTCTTGTTAGTTCTGGCTTTGTCTTGAGCCTGGACAGCTGCATTCTGTCATTTGGTTTAGAGTAGGGGTCACCCTGCACTGGCGAGGGCTTGGGAGGGGCAGACTGGATGGCCAGGGCGGACAAAGGAAAGAACAGTACTTCTACCACGCCTCCTAACCCTGGCTGGCTTGGTGTTCCCTGGCAGCAGCTGGACCGCCGAGGGTTCTGGACGGCTGTGCCTGCAGGCCTGTGTTTGCCTGTGAGATGGGTAGATTCTGTTTGTGCACTTGCCCATGGCCCCCAGAGCCCAGCTGCTCCCCAGGCTCCGTCGCCCTGCAGATGATGTCAGGTTTCTGGGGCTTCCGCTTGCTCTGTGGAATATATTTGCTGCATTCACCATAGCCACAGCCCTGGCTCTGGGGCACCCACGGGTTTGTGTGTGCTGTGGCCTCACTCTGCATAGGCTAAGGTAGTGAGCATGGAGAGAGATCCTGAGGGAAGGGAGGTTGAGACTAAGACACCTCCGTTCCTCAGTTCTTATTCCCTTCTTTCCAGCTCATTCCTTCATTCATTCATTCACGCAGGAGAATTGAGACTAGCCAAAGCTCTGGGACAAGGGTCCAGAACAAAAGCAGTTCTGTCCCAGTGCTCAGGAGGCAGAGGCAGGTGGATCTCTGTGAGTTGAAGGCCAACCTGATCTGTATAGCTACTGTGAGAACAGCTAGGAGCTACATAGTGAGACTCTTTTACAAATAATAATAAGTAACCAAAAAAGGCAGTCCCGAAGCTGGGCATGGTAGCGCATGTCTGTAACCCTAGCATTTGGGAGGCTGAGTCAGGAGGATTTCAGAAAATTCCAGGCAGCATGGGCTACATCAGGGTCGGCCAGGACTACACAGGGAGCCCCTGTCTCAAAACAGTACCAACAACAAAACCCCGAACCCCTGGGCAGCTGGCAGCCAAGTGTGGGTCAGACCTCCGTCACGTACACACCCTCCCACCTGGAAGGCTTGGGTGGAGGAGGCTTCTGGGGAGGGTGTATCTGAGGGAAGATAGGAAGGATGAGCTAGAATCATGAGAGAGGGCAGGAAGGAGAAGCTTATGGGCAAAAGGGACAGGGCTACCCTAAGACCCCTTAGCAGGTGGCCTCGGGTTTGAATGGGGACTGGAACTGATAGCTTGTGTTCTTGATCTTCCTCTCTGGGAATACCCAGGCTGGCCCATTTAGGGCTTCAGCCTGACAGGTTCCCGGTACTGAAAGCTGTGTATTCATTTGCACAGTGATGGGCTGTCCAGGACCTGCTGGGCTTATTCGTGACAAGGGCAGTGGCCATGATACAGAGTTAAGGCAGCTAGTGATAAAGGGGGTTCCAGGGAGGGGTGCTGGAACTGAGAAGCAGGGCTGGGGTGCAGGCCAAGGGAGAAGGCAGCAGAGAGGAGGTCTCCTGAGGTACCAGGCCCAAGCTGTGCAGGGCTCAGCTAACCACTAGGGGACACTGCCTCCCAGGCAGAGCACAGAACCCAGGCATCTGTGTTTGGGGCCTGAT